CACTTCTACTCGTTGCCACTGACAACCTTTGATAAATCTGTCCTGTTTAATTGCAATACATGCATAAAAGTATCCGTGTATCAGACATGTACAGAAAGAGTACTGTTCATTTCTGATACACGGATACTTTCACACCGTTTTAGATACCTATCAAGCAATAAGTAGCGGACGTTTAGTCCGACCCAGATCGCAATTGATAACGATGGCTCTATACAATGTACATGAAACAACTAGTCTAAATCATAGTAACAAAACAAAATGGGGGGAACTACATGGCAGTTCAAAAACATATACAATGACATTAAATTAACATAACAACATATTACAACCAGCGGCTGCCAGGCAGGATACGCCCACATTTTCGAGAGATGGATAGAGAACAAGCTAACAAGAAAGTGATTTTTCCTACAATCAAGGGCCATAATTCAGGAAATTACAATTCGATATGCGAGAATATCGAAAGGAACTGAGATCTTTGTGTTATAAACTTACATTTCAAGTTTCAACAAAATCGGATAAAAATTGCGACCTCTATAGGGTCCACAACCTTGATATACCATATTTTTACGCTATTTGGGAACGAACGACGGCCATTTTGTCTGTCAATTTGGGCCGATTTTCACGAAATTCGAACTCAGTTCTCCTTAGGGTGTAACGGTGATATAATAATACGGTTTTTTAAATCGGATAAAATTATGACCTCTATAGGGTCCACAAGCTAAAAACGCGATTTTTTGTACAATCAGGGGCCATAATTCAGGAAGTTACAGTCCGATATGCGCAAATATCGAAAGGAACCGAGATCCTTGGGTTATAAACTTACATTTCAAGTTTCAACAAAATCGGATAAAAATTGTGACCTCTATGGGGTCCACAACCTTGATATACCATATTTTTACGCTATTTGAGAACGAAGGGCGGCCATTTTGTCTGTCAATTTTAGGCCGATTTTCACAAAATTCGAACTCACCAATTCTTAGGGTGTAACAGTGATATAATAATACGTTTTTTTTAAATCGGATAAAAATTATGACCTCTATAGGGTCCACAAGCTAAAAACGCAATTTTTCATACAATCCGGGGCCATAATTCAGGAAGTTACGGTCTGATATGCGCGAATATCGAGAGGAGCCGAGATCTTTGGGTTATAAACTTACATTTCAAGTTTCAACAAAATCGGATAAAAATTGTGACCTCTATAGGGTCCACAACCTTGATATACCATATTTTTACGCTATCTGAGAACGAACGGCGGCCATTTTGTCTGTCAATTTTGGGCCGATTTTTACGAAATTCGAACTCAGTTGACCTTAGGGTGTAACGGTGATATAATAATACATTTTTTTAAATCGGATAAAAATTATGACCTCTATAGGGTCCACAAGCTAAAAATGCGATTTTTCGTACAATCAGGGGCCATAATTCAGGAAGTTATGGTCCGATATGCGCGAATATCGAAACGAACCGAGATCTTTGGGTTATTAACTTATATTTCAAGTTTCAAAAAAATCGGATAAAAATTGTGACCTTTATAGGGTCCACAACCTTGATATACCATATTTTTACGCTATTTGAGAACGAACGGCAGCCATTTTGTCTGTCAATTTTGGGCTGATTTTCACGAAATTCGAACTCAGCCGTCCTTACTCAGGTCGTCTCTCCACTGTGAAATCATTCTACCCTGAAATGTAACGTGAGGCTCAGAAAGGGATAAATAATGAAAGAGCAGAAAGTATTTGTCACTTTTCGGTTGAAACGACTCGATAATAAATACCATTTTTCACATTTTGCTTCACAATACTCGATAGAAATGTGATGTAATTAACTTATTAGCACCTTTCCTCGGTGTATCGGTGAATATCAGGACAGTTTTGGTCGGGACCTGCCTCGGCTGGGCACCCCGACCAAAACTGTCCTGATATTCACCTATACACCTCGGAAAGTGTGCTAATAACTACTACATAACAAAAGTATTTTCATCAAAGAAAAAAATTGCCCCTTGAATTTCTTCAAAATCCTATTTTTGCTTGTACATTTGAAATCAACAAGCAAAACTTTGCTTGTGTGTTTTCAAATAAAGTTCTATCCCTGAATGACCAAACAACTGCTCTTAAAAAATTTTTGTTACCAACACAGTTATGTTTCTTGTTGTTTAGATTTTATGCAATAATGGATGTACTTATTTAATCTGCATGTACTGAACACGTTGTATATTGAATTCCAAAATAGTGTAGAATTAACCTTGTGTTTAAATTTCTTTCTAGGTTGTTGATTGGCCATATGAATGTCAAGTACTTCAAACCAGCAGGGAATTTTTGGTTGGAAAATGAACTGTTATTTGAATGTGTAATAGGAATAGCAGTCAAAAATTGGTTTGATTCTGTTCACAACATGAAAATGCTGCTCCCTATGTAAACAAGCCTTCTGTCATCTTTGTTTCGCAAAATCTGATGACCATAAGAGCCTTGTCATCTTTGTTTCGCAACATCTGATGACTTGGTCTGATTTTAATCCAACTGAATCTATGCAGGGAAATTATCTGGTGCTGATGTTTTGATTTCTTAGTTAAGTTTTAAGTCAGTCAATGTTGAGTACCAGCATTGGTTACGAAGAAGAAGAAGAAGATATTTTCTGATTAATGCAAATCCCATGTCGTTACTTGAATTAAATCATTATTGATGCTTCATCCGTCCAATTTAATTAAATCAGTATTGATGCTTTATCCGTCCAATTTTATTAAATCAGTATTGATGCTTTATCCGTCCAATTTAATTAAATCGGTATAGATTCTTTATCCGTCTAATTGAATTAATTGATGCTTTATCCGTCCAATTATTTTACCATTATTGTTATGTCATTTACATTAAACCCCATTTTATTTCTTATGTCATTTTTATTTTGTTTTTGTTTTTAAACTGATCACTGTGTTACATGTTGAATAATAAATGAAATATTAAATCATATGTTCAAAGTCGTAACTTATTTAATGATGGTTGTTCGAGAGAGGTGGACTTTAGCGGTCACTCGTCTCTAGGTTATTTCAATAATTGGCTTGTGCATAGGGCTTTAGCAGTGGGGGTAAATGATAGTCCTTGGCAAAACCCACAAGGTTAGACAGGTTTGTGCTTGTCACCTACATGACTAACATCCACATTATCATAGCTCCTTGGGATGGTTAAAGCAATTTTTTATCCCAGATTACTTAATATATCACGATTCCAAGGGAATTTGATGTGGTCAATGTTACCAACTCTTTTTACCCAGGATATGTAATATATTTTTTTTTTATTAGACAGTACAATCAACAGGTCAAAAATTGTACAAGGCAAATAGATGTACAATATTAGGAATTAATTTCCAAAGGAATTTGATGTGGTCAATGTTACCAACTCTTTTTACCTAGGATATGTAATGTTTTTTTTTATTAGATGGTACAATCAACAGGTCAAAAACTGTACAAGGCAAATAGATGTACAATATTAGGAATTGATTTCGCATTTTTTTTTATGAGTATTGTTTTATAGAACTGTAACGTGTGTTTTGGTCATTGTTACCTGCAGACTCATTTTGAGAGATGTTGTAAAATAAATTACATCTTTTTACATTTTGATACCACCAAATGACAATATTTTGTCAATTTTACATGCATTCATTTTAGTATGTCAGCGTTTTTACAGAAAATTGTAAAGTTTTTATATTTTTACCACATTGGTACATCAGGAAACATTTAAACCAAAACAAACAATGTGTTATTTACTCTCCAAATACATTTTGAAATTTTAATGTCCATGTCACACTTTAGGTGTCAACTTCATGGAATGACCCAGATATGTCCACATGAAAATTGTGGGCGTATAAAAAGGCGATTTTTCGTATAATCAGGGGCCATAATTCAGCAAGTTACGATCCGATATGCGCAAATATCGAAAGGATCTTTGGGTTATAAACATGCATTTCAAGCTTCATCAAAATAGGATTAACATTGTGACCTCTACAGGGTCCACAACCTCGATATACCATATTTTTACATTATTCGCGTACAACTGGCTGCCATTTTGTCTGGCAATTTTGGTCTGATTTTCACGAAATTCGAACTCAACCTTCATTATGGTGTAATCAAACGTTTTTTTAAATTGGATAATAATTGTGACCTCCAGAGGGACCACAAGCTAAAAAGGGCGATTTTTCGTACAATCAGGGGCCATAATTCAGGAAGTTAAGATCCGATAAGCGCAAATATCGAAAGGAACCAAGATCTTTGGGTTATAAACATGCATTTCAAGTTTCATCAAAATCGGTTTAAAATTCTGACCTCTATAGGGTTTTCAAGCTAAAAACGTGATTTTTCGTACAATCAGGGGCCATAATCCATGAAGTTTCAATCCGATACATGCCAATATCGAAAACAACCAAGATCTTTTGGAGATAAACCTATATTTTAAGTTTCGTCAAAATCGGATAAAAATTGTGACCTATAGAGTGTCCGAAAACAATGGTGGACTGACGGACGGACAGGGGCGACAACAATATACATCCACATGAAAATGTGGGCGTATAAAAATTGTGACCTGTAGAGTGTCCACAAACAATTGATACTTTTTGATATCGAAAAAGACTCATAGGAGATTTTATTTATCACCCAGCCCTTTCTTACACGCACAAATAAAGAGATATAATTCTTTGGTATAGATTTAATTTTACTGAACCTGATTACATTATGGTGTAGTTGCTTTTTATAAAAAAAAGTAGTTCCTTTTTAATTAACCAATCACACAAGTTATCACACAAGCGATATCTACTGTAGAATGTGTTATTGGGCGATAAAGAAATGTGCATTGTAGAAAATAGACCTTAAAAAAAATTATACAAGTTTTTATTTAACAAAGTCTTAATATTTAGATTAAATATTGGCTCTTTACACACCATTGTATGTTTCTTTTTACAAATATGTTTTAATGGACTTTATATTATATCAATAAATTTTGAAACAAGATGTATACCTAACTGGATCTGTATTTAATCCAATCAAAGGTTTATTCTTATTCTTTACTTTACTTGCTGCCAGAAGAAAAGTACCATCTCCCCCAGCAGAGAATACTACATCTGCCCACTCAATGCCTTTATTACCAAACTGCCATCTATCTACAACTTGTGTTTTTATACCAGAAGACCTACAAAACAAATCATGCTTTATCAAATGCAAGCAATAAAGATAGTTGCGAAAAGCATGGATGTTCACACAGAAGCTATGCCTCGATAGTCATAAACAGCATCGGTACTGCTGCAATATACGTCGACATTCCAGCTTTGGTTGATATGGTACTTTTTAAAATGAAGAGACTAAATATTAAAGTGCACATAAGATGGACGAAAAAACTTTTCAATACGTGTAGCCAGTGGTTACTATATCCACTTTACAGCAAGTTCACGCCAATCTGGTTGAAATTAATTCAGTTATGGTCACTCAAGTCATAAAAATAGATCTCCCATAAAAACGACTTTACCAGTTATCGAAAACACTCTCAATCCCCTCAGACGCCAGTGACGTCACAGTGACCGAATGCATATTCGGAATGTTTATTCCTTAATTACCTATATACAGGCGGCGTGTGTATTTATTAACGCCTGATTGATTCCTTAATCCCCCTAATTAAATAAAACAACAACCGCCTCAGCCATCCTGGAGACCATTATCTACTATTCACTTTAAATTGTTCAATAATTATCATCAATCTTTAAATATTCTTAGTAATTAATTCATCTTTTTTATCATTTTAAACAATTTTTTCTAATCATTTTAGCAATCTAATCAAATTTGTACATAATCTTATACTTCAATTAAATTTAACGATCCTTTCTTTCTTTTTTTAACAATCTTTATACTGTACATAAATAAATTTTAAAATTCTGTCACAGGATCATTATAATTTTATCTTGATAAAGGGTATTGCACCCGAAACGTCGACCCATTAAACGATCTTCTACTTCTACAAGTCTGTTGTGTATTCTGTTTAGCGGGGATTCTTTAATTTTATAAAACTATTGACTATGGAATAATTTGTTTTGTAATTCACTTTAATTTAAGATCCAATTTAGAATGCCTACAACTTTTAAACTTTGAAGTCTTGAACTCTTAATCAATTTTTAACAATATGGAACTTATTGGACGAACACTTTTAATATTTAAATAATCTACGGGTCCAGCTATGTGTTTTTTACTGCGAGCACTTCGCTTTTCCACATAAAGCCAGCAGATTCTTTTTCCCCACAGGTTTTTTTCTATCCGCTCTGATGACGCCAAACATCAGTCAGTTGTACCTCCTGTTTTAACTTTATTATGACAAAGAGGAGAAGATGACCCGCCCTCTCTTCTCACGACAGCAAATTTATAAGTGTGTTTTAAGGATCTTTTGGTATCCGAGGACCGTTTTATTTTGTGTTTTTTTAAACAATTTTCAAGTGTAAATGATTTAATTCAATCAACCTGTCCATAATATCATATTCAATGTATTGGACGTTAAATCTGTAATAAACAACAACACCATAGAATGTGTGATTTTAATACCCTCTACCAACGTGTGCAGTCCAAACGATTCGAGATACATTTTCGTCAGAAGAGTATTGTGGTTCTAATGTCCCTGAGTAAAAGTATTCACATGTTTGGAACATGGATGATGGGTGAGTTGAGTAATATATGTACTCATTAGTAAACACATATGAATTGCATGTACTTTTCACTTATAAGTTTTTTTGTTTTGTTTTGCATGCATTAGTATTTTAAATCTCTGAGGAATCTCTTGTTAAATACAGTATTGTCAAAGTGGAATCTCCAAAGAGAATATTAGTCCAAAAAGTCCAAAGATAGGTTGCCAGGCAATGAAACATACGCCCACAACAGCTAAATCATCCGGGCAGTCAACAAGAGTTGTTGTATATCTTTACTTTTGTTGTTAATGAAACATTTATAATACACTAAAATCTGATTAAGAGTAACAACTCATGAAGTAATTTTCAGAAAACCATTAGTATTTGTTTGTTTTTATAAAGTTCTGCCCGCATGCTAACATTTTGTATACAAAACTTTTAATATCATGGATTTAAAAATTCATTGAAAATCAATATACTTGTTCGTCTCAAGATCTTAAACTCTGTGTATCAATCTGAAGTCAATCGGATGATAACTTTAGTCTTTAGAGCTTCACAAAGTGATCAAGGGCCATAACTTTGGCATTAATTATCGGAAATCATTGAAAAACAATAGGATTCTTTGTCTCATGACCTTAAACACTGTGTATAAATTTAAAGTCAATAGGATATTAACTTTGGCCTTTAGAGCGTCCACAAGATTTTTTGAAGTGATCAAGGGCCATAACTCTGGTAGTAATTATCGGAAATCGCTGAAAATCAATAGGCTTCTTCGTCTCATGACCTTAAACACTGGCCTTTAGAGCGTCCACAAGATTTTTCAAAGTGATAAAGGGCCATAACTCTGGCAATAATTATCGGAAATCGTTGAAAATCAATAGGCTTCTTTGTCTCAAGACCTTAAACACTGTGTATAAATTTTAAGTCAATCAGATATTAACTTTGGCCTCTAGAGCGTCAACAAGCAATTGTGGACGCTGGACCGCCGGCCGGACGGACAGGGGCGACGACAATATACGACCACATTTCAATGTGGGCATATAAAAATGGCTCAATTTCATTCACTGTTTGCAAGATATGATGAATTTAATATATATCAACTTTTTACTGTTGATATTTTATTTTCTTGATTTATTGTTTGACATGCATTATTTAAGATTTAGATAAAGAGCTGACAGTTGTAGCTATTATAGTTCAAAATTGATGCTGCAAAATGAATATATTGAAAATTTCATTCAAATTTCTTTATTCTGAGCCACAACAGTACTCAAGACTTGGCTTTGATTAAACTTTGATTAAATTTTGTATTTTTCTGACAAATGCAAATGATGCACAAAGACTAACCAGTTTTATCGTTTAATGTTTGTTCATTTGCGATTTATTTTTCTGCAATAACATGTAGTAAGAAAAAAATAACATTGCATTAATTTTTTAAAAATATTTCTATGTGGACATTAAAAAGCAATGAGAGAGATAGAGAAATTGGGTTAACGTCCACTCGATACAAACCAGGTCTATGTGGGCGTATAGGAAGCAATGAGAGAGAGAAATTGGGTTTAACAGCTACTCTATACAAACTAGGTCATTTTGGGACTAACATATGGTTCAATTTTATTTCCATAATTCGCTTGCGAGTAGGGGTCTATAGCAGTGGGAGGAAACCGGAGGACTCGGAGAAAACCCACGAGGTTGGACAGGCGACCCTAGTCCTCGTCACATACACCGGGGAATCAAAACCACACCAGTTGACACAATGACAGACCTTATGATACAACACGCAAGCGCTAACCATTCAGCCATCCGACCCCGCAAAAAGGAATGAAGATTATGTCAATGTGCATATGTAGTATACATGTAGATGCATCACCAACACAAAATAAGTAAAAACAATTATTCATAATATATGAATAATAAGTGATCATTGTAGGTTGGGAAATTAAATATCCATTTATCTCTTTCAGATGATGATTACAGAAATCTGAATATACCCATTGGAGGTAACCAGCTTACGCGTGTCCGTTTACAGGGTGCCAAGTTATTGAGAGCTTGAGCTCACACAGTTGAAGACAGATTTGATAATTTGAACCATATGATAATTGAAATGTTTCACACTTTGCAAGATTTCTTAGAGGTTTGTTGCACTTATGTCTTTAAGATCAAAATAAAGATAACCAGTGGCTGCCAGGCAGGATACGCCCACATTTTCGAGAGATGGATAGAAAACAAGCTAAAACGAAAGTGATTTTTCCTACAATCAAGGGCCATAATTCAGGAAATTACAATTCGATATGCACAAATATCGAAAGGAACCAAGATCTTTGAGTTATAAACTTACATTTCAAGTTTCAACAAAATCTGATAAAAATTGTGACCTCTATACGGTCCACAACCTTGATATACCATATTTTTACGCAATTTGAGAACGAGGGGCGGCCATTTTGTCTGTCAGTATTGGGCCGATTTTCACGTAATTCGAACTCAGTCGTCTTTAGGGTGTAACGTTGATATAATGATACGGTTTTTTAAATCGGATAAAAATTATGACCTCTATACGGTCCACAAGCTAAAAACGCGATTTGTCATACAATAAGGGGCCATAATTCAGTAAGTTACGGTCCGATATGCGCGAATATCGAAAGGAACCGAGATCTTTGTGTTATAAACTTACATTTCAAGTTTCAACAAAATTGGATAAAAATTGTGACCTCTATAGGGTCTACAACCTTGATATACCATATTTTTACGCTATTTGAGAACGAAGGGCGGCCATTTTGTCTGTCAGTTTGGGGCCGATTTTCTCAAAATTCAACTCAGCCGTCCTTAGGGTGTAACGTTGATATAATGATACGGTTTTTTAAATCGGATAAAAATTATTACCTCTATACGGTCCACAAGCTAAAAACGCGATTTGTCATACAATAAGGGGACATAATTCATGAAGTTACGGTCCGATATGCGCGAATATCGAAAGGAACCGAGATCTTTGTGTTATAAACTTACATTTCAAGTTTCAACAAAATCGGATAAAAATTGTGACCTCTATAGGGTCCACAACCTTGATATACCATATTTTTACGCTATTTGAGAAAGAACGGCGGCCATTTTTCTGTCAGTTTTGGGCCGATTTTCACGAATTCGAACTCAGCCGTCCTTAGGGTGTAACGGTGATATATTAACACGTTTTTTTAAATCGGATAAAAATTATGACCTCTATAGGGTCCACAAGCCAAAAAATGCGTTTTTACGTACAATCAGGGGCCATAATTCAGGAAGTTATTAGTTTTAGTGTTTATCTTTCCATACTTTTAAGTTAAGCAATCAATTTATCTTATTATAATATTGCTTTTCAGAAGCTGTGTAAAAAGTTTTTAGTTCTTGGTAAAGCCAGAGACAAGGGAACATTGGTACACCTGAAAGTAATCATTCAGAGGACTAACATTAATGGTCAGGTTAAAGTTCGATTTAAGGTAATAAAGCATATAATTAAAATTTTATTAAGAATTGATTCAGTGCAAAAGCAATCAAT